CCAGAGGACCGGCTCCTTCAAGGTGCGCGGGGATGGAGGCGCTCTATGTCCGCTAGGTCGGCCCCGGGGCAAAGGTCGCTTCTTGCGGCGGAGAAACTCGCTTTCCACCGGCACCCACCAGCCCTCGAAGCAGACGTGGCTCATGCCACCCTGCAGTCCTTCCCAGCACAGAGGGAAGGTTGCAAGGAGATTCCGCACCTGCCCGCTCAGCCCAGCCCGTCAGCTGAGAGTCCTGCACTCTCCTTCCAGATCCGCGGTGCCCTGAACGCAGTCAGGAACCTCGTGGAGGAAAGTGAACACACTGGAAAGGAGCTGCCCCGTGCTGTCGTGACACACAGCAGTGGGAATCATGGGCAGGCACTTGCCTGTGCTGCGCAGGCAGAAGGTAACGTGGACCCTGACCTCCAGTCCCAGCGCAGAGGGTAATGCAGAGCTCCAGAAGCCCAGCTCTGCCTTCCCTGGAGATAAATAGGGACATCCCTCTCCTGAACCCATTGTGCCTGTTGAATTTGCCTGCTCTTTCATCACAGGGATCCCTGCCTACATCGTGGTGCCCCGGACAGCCCCACACTGTAAGCAAGCTGCCATCCGTGCCTATGGTGCCACACTGGTGCCATGTGAGCCCAGTGACCAGGTAAGGCACAGGGGAGAGCACCCAGGGACACAGCACAGCCAGACTGAGAGGTGACCATCTGCACTTTCCCTTAGTCCAGAGCTGAGACAGCAGCCCATGTAGTCCAGGAGACAGGAGGAGTCATGGTGCATCCCAACCAGGATCTGGCAGTGATCGCTGGGCAAGGCACAATTGCTCTGGAGGTGCTGGAACAGGTGAGGGAAATGCACAGCCCAGCCCTGGCCCAGACTCCTTGCAGGCAGGGGCACAGCAAAAAGGGAGACTGCACTCACTCTTCCTTTCTCCACAGGCACCTGAGGTAAACGCAGTGGTGGTTCCTGTCGGAGGTGGAGGAATGCTTGCAGGAATAGCCATTGCCATCAAGGTAGGCAACAGCTCATCCAGGCAGTAGTGGCTGCACCTCCCTGTGGGAAGGGCTCCCAAGGCAGGCAACAGCTTTTAATTTTAGAAACAGAAACCCTGCTGTGAAAATCTGTGGGTGCCCTGAGCCTGCATGGCAGCAGCAGGGCCTGCTTGGCCCCCTGCATGCCCAGGAACAGCAGACATGCACATACTAGTGTCAACCAAGTGTCTCCTCCTGCTCTTCCCAGGCTTTGAGACCAGATGTGAAGGTGTTTGCTGCTGAGCCATGCAATGTGGATGACTGCTACCAGTCCAAGCTAAGAGGGGAGCTGACCCCCAACCTTCACCCACGGGATACCATCGCAGACGCAGTTAAAACCAGCATCGGACCAAACACTTGGCCCATCATCAGGGATTTGGTTGATGATGTCCTGACAGTCTCAGAGGAAGAGATCAAGGTAAAGACTCCCAGCTCCATTCTCACGGTAGCCGCCAGCAGGCAGCTGCCTCCATCCCCACTCTGCCCCTCTGCTCTCACCCCAACGTGCTCCCAGGGCAGCACAAGCCCCTGCACACCACTGCAGCTGTGCAACACCCACACTGTCTCCAGCTGGAAAGGGCTGGCGGAAGTTCTGCTCTTGCTTCCCAAAGCACTGCAGGGATGCGTACAGGCAGTGCCCTCACAGCCCTGGAGCAGCATGTCCTGGCTGCTGGGCTGACAGCTGCTGCCCTGTCCCAACAGAGAGCCACACGGCTGGTGTGGGAAAGGATGAAGCTGCTGATTGAGCCAACAGCAGGCGTGGGACTGGCGGCTGTGCTCTCGGAGCGGTTCCAGGCAGTCCCCCGGGACGTGAAGAACGTTTGCATCGTGCTGTGTGGGGGAAACGTGGACCTGGGATCCCTGACCTGGCTCACAGACCTCTCTGGGAAAGCAGAATGAGACCAGAGCAGTGTCTCAAGCAATGGAAACCTCACTCTGAATTGGTAGAGTAGTGCACTACTAAAAACATATGAACAACCCCAAACTTTTGGAAGTTTTTATGGAGGGATAGGGGAAGCTGGCATTGCTTTCTATGGGGGGCCTGGAAACAAAGCACTGCCTGTTCTTCTGTCCCCACCCACCCTGTTCTGGAACAGGCCTCCAGAGAGCTGCACTCAGTCACCCTCCCCAGCTGCTACTTGCTTTTCTTTCCCAGCATCACAGGAACAGCCAGCAAACTCCTTCTCACAACAAACTCCCCACAGGCACCACTGCAGCAGGGCATGAAGAAACAAAC